TAAATTTATATTTCATTTTCATACATGAATTTTCTTTCCCTATCCTTTCAGATAGGTTAAAATGTGCAAGGCAGAACTTATCAGTCATTATTTTGTCAATGATGATTTTCACACTTCAGAAAGAGATGAACTGTAAACCTTAATGGTTATTATTCATATCTGCTAGGAACTGATCCTAATTACCTTCTCTATGCCATAAGTCATTCACATAGTATTTATAGTACAAAATGCTTTCTGCAAGTTTGGTGATGACCTTCTCCATTTTCATTAAAACTAACTCACACAAGCAACAATGGCTATAGCTATTTTTGGGGGATGTAGACAAACCTATACTTTGACATTGTTTCGAATGGAGACATCTACATTCAAACTTAAATTCTAGGGAAGAAGAGCTAGTTCCAAACACAATGATGGAGTGGCATTACTAAATGAAAATACATTAGGTGGACAAAAATATTTGGACAAACTTGTAGAAAAGGAAAAATGCTATTTGTTTGTTGAATTTAGTATATGGTCGTCCCACCTTTGGTCTTAATGACTGCTGCAACTCTCTGAGGCATGTTTCCATCAAGTTACAGTTAGTATTGGCAGTAGTAATGTGCTGGATCGTTAAAAATGTATATCTGCAGATACGGATATGGATCTCAACTTTAATACTCAGTTAGCACTGGTGCTTGTGACCTTGGACCAATAGTTGACACTTTGCATTAGTAACACAACATGTTTTGACTTGCACTGCGCGTGTTTTTGTTTATAGTTTAGTATGACATGGGATAGCATAGATTACATTTGTATCTTTGGAGAGTGTTGAGTTAAATTAAAATAAACAACATCGACAAAAAAGTTTAGTAGTGTAATATGGAAATACTGTATTTTACGATAGTAAATGAATTTTGCATGATAAAATTTTTGCAATATGAATGTGCCAAATATGTTATTTTAAGAAATAAAAAGTGATTTGAATTGAAGTTATTAGTATTTTATTGCTACCTATCTTCAAAATTTCATATAAGTAATGAAGTTTATTAAGATAAAAGATCTGTTAAAGCAAAACGACTTTCAACAACTTAACACTTCGTTGAGTAGTAATAATCCACGAAAACCTTTCTGTACAAGTGTTATGTTCTTAACTACTCCACAAATGCTTTCGACCTCCACCGAGGTCTGCTTCAGGGCACCTGCATCAACAACAAAGATGGCGAAACAATCGCGCAGGCGTGGAGGTATTTGTTCGAGGAATTCGAACAGGCACAGTCAGAGGGGTGAAACCCGATGCACACGATTATTTACATCTCTGGTGACATCATTACGACAGTCAGGAAGAAACACAATCAGTCACCACCTGAAGCAGACCTCGGTGGAGGTCAAAAGCATTTGTGGAGTAGTTAAGAACATAACACTTGTGCAGAAAGGTTTTGATGGATTATTATTGATATGTTAAAGATCTGCTGAAAAGTAACGGATACGGATTTTTTTTCCCTCAGATATCCGCGGATACAGATAGAAATACCGATATCCGGCACATCACTAATTGGCAGGAATGTTTCTCTATTCTTCTTGCAGAGAGACTGCAAGCAGGCACAACCATCAAAGAAGGTCATGTCCAACAAAGTCTGATGTGATATTCCAGCTCATCCAAAGATGTCCAATTGGGTCAGGTTGGGACTCTGAGAAGGAGAATCCAAAAGTTGGACTTCTTGCTCTTAAAACTATGTCCGGATAGCGCATCAGGGTGGCATGGTGCTCAGTCATGCTGGAAAACATGGTGATCCGTGCCAAAGTGCTGCCACATTGTAAGCAGTGCCAAATTGTCCAGAATGCCTTGGCATTAGCGTTTATGGTGGTAAGCACCAGGATCAAAGGATCCAGTTTGTGCCAGTAGAAACAGCCCCAAACCATCATTGATCATCTATCATTGTTGACGCTATGAATGGACTGTATACGAACTCACAATAATTGCCCAATAAAATGATTTTTATTGATTTAAACTCTCTCCAATAATTCAGGCAATACAGTTTGGATTCCTCTTGAATCCAATATACAAACAAGGGCGTCAACAGACAAGAATGATGACTCACCAAAAAACGCGTGAAAAAACACCCTCTCACAATAAAAAGAAAATAAAAAATTTTCCTAATAATAATAATTCTTGAGTCCTCTCTGATTCTGCCTAGCCTTGAATCCATTATCCAACATGTTAAACAATGTGCAATATGGCTACAATATCAGACATGAAAAAACAACACAGTTTACACTGTCACATCTCATGTACATGGACGACATAAAACTTTATGCATCCACACAAAAACAACTTCATCAACTCCTATAAATCACGCATTTATACACTAAAAACATACAAATGGAGTTTGGCCTATACAAATGCAAAACACTTCACATAGAAAAAGGAATCCTGAAGAAAGAAGAGTTTGAACTTGGAAATGGAGAAGTTATTGAATCCATGGAAGAGGGCAAGTTCTACAAGTATTTAGGATTCCAACAGGCCAAATTAACAGAACATACACAAATAAAGCAAAGATTAATTAACTACATCAATCAGGCCATGTCTGCCATCTTTACGTGGAAGGGTTAATCTTTCTATGGCAGATTTAGGATGATGATGATTAATTTAACCTTCACTACAAACAAATACAGTCACTGTGAGAGTTTTTCTACAAGAAATGAGAAACATCACAATTACATAAAGCAGTAACTCTAGCAGACTCAAATAACACACCATTAAACTTACACTCACAACATATAAAAAGCATAGACACCATCAAGCAATCATGGGCTCGAAAGGCACTTCATGGCAGGCATCCTTATGACCTGACTCACGATTTTGTTGACAGAACTGCATCAAACCTCTGGTTAGATCAACGATGCCTCCTTGGTGAGACGGAAGGATTCATGATTGCCATACAGGATCAGGTCATAAATACTAAAAACTACAGAAAACACATACTCAAAGATACAACACTCACTAATGACACATGCA